ACTACTGACAGATGATGTGATAAATTTTGTTCTGCATAATGATGAAAAGCCAAATTCAAAATGAGCATTTTAATGTCAGAGAATTATTTAGGTTGGACAATACTTTTAAGATCATTAAAGGTCCAACCATTAATCAAGAACTGCCAAGTTCACCACTAAACTTTGTTGCTAAGCGCCACATCTACATGTCATTTTATACCTGCAGTGATGGTGAGGAGTAGTCTCTGGGTGAGTTCAGTCCAGAGAGACACAATGTCTTTAATGTGAAAGCTATAAACAGATAAATATAGAAATATATACCTTCTGCAGTCATAATCCATAACAATCCACCCTACCTGATTTTTACTTGAGGTACATACGTGCACATACTAAAGCATAAAGGAGGTTAAAACCAGCTGAAAATTACTTCTTCCAAGCAGAGTGACTGATGAACAGTCAATACAAAGCAGAGTAAATTTCAAACAAGGGAAAAAATATATCAGACTTAAAAGTTTACAAAGAATATGTTGTACTTTTACACTGAAAATAGCAATGAAATTCATACTAGAATCAGTATCCATACAAGGATGGTAGAATCAAAATCTGTGCAAGGATCATCTCTGGTACTCAGCACTGGTGAGGCTGTATCTCCTGTTCAGTTTGGGCCCCCCACAAGAAGAACTACAGGTGAGGTGGTGGTGTGTGTCCAGAGAAGGATATGGAAGCTGGTGAAGGATCTGGAGCACAAAAAGGGTGCTGAGGGACGGCCCTATCACTCTCTAAAACTACCTGAAAGAAGGGTGTAGTCAGGTGGGTGTTGAGCTCTTCTCCCAAGTAACAAGCAACAGAATGAGAGGAAATGGCTTCAAGTTGTACCAGAGGTTTTGATGGAACATTAGTAAAATTTCTTCGTGGAAAGCATTGTCAAGCGCAGGAACAGACTGCCCAGGGAGGTGTTTGGGTCACCAGGCCGGAAAGTATTTAAAAGATGTGTAGATATGGCACTTGGAAACATGGTTTAGTGGTGGGCTTGGCAGTGCTGGATGAACAGTTGGACGCAATGATCTTAAAAGTCTTTTCCAACCTAGACAATTTGTTGATCCCTACACTGGTGAGAACCAACTTACTTCAAACAAATGGCATTAAGTAGAAACTCCTGGGATTGACAGTCTTCCAAGGAAATGAAGAGACAGTGAAGACAGATGAAGTTGCTCAGGTGGTTCTTTTGGATCTTACTAGAGAAACCATATCATTGATGTCATATGGGCTCTCCTAGACAGATAACCAGTGCTGATTTTTTCATATGCCTTCCTCAAAGAATATGAAGATCAGTAAGAAAGCTTAAAGACCATTCATTAAGCACGGAGCACTGGTGCACAGAAATACCTTGTAGAGATCTAGCCTGGTGACTGAAATCCTTCCTGGTCTTGTGAAGGCAAGAGTGGTACTGGTTAATGGTACAATAACATTGCCCAACCACTCTTTCATTTTCTCTTGATTGAATTTCTGAGAGATGTTGAGAAAACCTGACACAGCTCAACAAAAACCAAATGAAAACATAACATGGATAAGACTGTTGCTATGTCTGCTAGTATATGTTCACAAGAGCCAACACTATTACCAAGAATTCCTTCCAGGAAGCAATAAGGGCAGCAGTGGGTGTTTTATGAAGACTTGGTAATTTAGTCTTTGGCCCTAAAAATTGGAAACTGACAAAACAATAATATTTATTTTTTTAAAAGGAAATCATTCTCCCAGGCTTCCCAGTTCCCATCTATACCACATTTTTTTCACAGTCCTGCATATGGTAAAGGACATGACCATGGTTTATTAAATACGGAATAGATTGTCTCCTATGGCAGTAGCACAAGTCATGGATTTCACTCAGGTCCATTTTAACCTCCTGTTTCCATGGCCATGGACAGAATGGTATTTTTGAATAACATATAAGAAAGTGCCTTGAAAAATTAAAGTAGGCACAACCTTGCAAATACAGTTGGCCTTAGAAAACACTGAGGATTTGGGTGACATCGGTGGCTCTTTGTGAACTGATACAGAAAAACACAACCTTGCTGTGGAGACTGTCCAGTCATGATAAGTGTGGCTGATAAAAAATTAACACAAGTGGGTATGGTTGATAACTATAAGGACTTTGTCTTTGCCTTGTTAGTTGTCTGTCAGATCCAAGTTCTGCATTGAGACATGCTCCAACTGCACCAGGTGAGGTCCAGTGAAGAGAAAGCCATGAAAAAACACCCTAGAGAAAGGTGGGGGCAGCAGGACTCCTTCTTTTAGCATAAGCCTACAGCTAGATTGGAGTAAGTGTAAGACAAAACTGCGTAAGGAACGGCTTGCAGGAAAGGACATTCTTGAGATTAGTTTATTGGCTCTCTCATTTATTGCTTTTTTAGGCAGCTGTACTGGGATGTAGGAGACTGCATGGCGTGAAAGTTCAGAGATGGAATAATAAGATTCAATAGCATGATTATGCATTTTATGTGTGAGGCACCTTTGATTGTGGAAAAAGTTAAAGCATGTCCTCCATAAAGCTTGGGAGGTTTCTTGTAACACTAGCACAAGTAGGTAGATGAAGAGATGTGACATGCCTAATTGTTTCTTTTATCTTCCTTGTGATAGAGAAAAAGTTCTATTTTAAAGACTTACCAAAAACCAGGTCTTTCATCTGGAGTGTAAAATTCATATGTTCCCTGACCTCACGTGTCACATGGTAATGAAACAACGTAAATCAGAAATGTTAAAAGTTGAAGTTTGTTAATATTACTGCTGAAGCTCCAGTCTCTTTCCTAGTTAAACTGACAGGTCCATAGTCCAAATATATATATTTACAGATTACAATGACATAAAGACAAAAAAAATTAATGGACATCAATAAGAAACAAATGTAAATGCAAGTTTCAGATAACTATTTGGACATTACAAAAAGAAACCACCAAAAAAAATCCACATCAAAAAACTTGCTCACATTTTAAATGGGCAAATAGCCTTTCTTTGTATTGTACTACCATCTTACTCTTAAGGAAATACTTCAGTAATTTATTTTGTGGTGAAAATGTAAAAAACATATATTTTGCATTCTCTTATCTATGTTTCCTTCTCACTTTTTTTTAGCTGTCTGGGCTGAATCAGGGACCAAGATTCAGAAATATCTTCTCCCTGGTTGAGGAAGACATCATATACTGATATTTTGAGGTCAATAAACAAAAGAAGAGGGACTCCTACTGGCTTCTGCATTTTTTCCCACAGTTGTCAGCCACTTCAGAAAAACTGGCTGAATTAGATGTAGGCCAGAGATAGCAAGAGTTCATAAGGCAACACAAAGACTTTGGGGGGACTGAGTTAAGGCCAGTCTAATCTCAGGACACAATAGGTCAGGTGTTTTCTTCAGGTGCCCACTGGCCTGGGAATTATTAAAATTAAAAAATAACTTTCCTCTTTCTCTCTCTCCTCCCATAAAACCCACAGGAGTATCAAAAAGAATCTGAAAACAGAGACATTTCCATATAGCTCATTTTAAAAAGAGAAATCCAACTCATTAACTCAAGACTATGCCAGAGCAAACTGTACACTTGAGATAATCACAGATAAGTCTCATATTGCATTTTTTTCCCATCATAAAACTATTTTGAAGGCAACTGGAAACCAGTTCACATTAATTTATGTATACTACTGCTATCCAAAAGTCACCCCACAAAAAAACCCTACTCTTTCTCCATCAGATAATAGAGAGGAAGCCAGTCTTGAAGGCAGAAAGTGAAATCCTGACTCCATTGTATTCATTTGCTAAATATGAATTTGCTTCAACAGAGCCAGGATCTCCCTGCAAAAGATCTGGCTATAGTAAGCAGTGGAATGTCTAAGCAGCGGAGTAGAAAAATGAGTTATGGAGAGTTTGGATTCCCACTTTGCACCCGCAAGCCAAGGACCATAGTAACATATGACATGAGACTATTGTCTTGGCTGTGTCTGTAACCATCAGATTTTCAACCCAAAAGATCCACATTATTACCAGTTTCTGCAGGTAACCCTTCTGACAGAGGAATCAAACATTACAGAGATGAGGTGCTTCTTTCATTTTACAGATGTCTCCTGAGGACAACTATCACTACCACATCTGGTGATTCTAGAACTACTACATCAATTGTATTTTCCTTTAACCTATTACTGGCACAATATTCTGTACTATTAGTGCTATCTTGACCATCCTGCTTCATGTTCTTGTAAAGGTACCCCTTTAAGTGCAAGGGACTAAGTTAGGGAGAACTGAGGGGGGAAAAAAAGAAAAAATATTAAATTCTTCATTGGAATGAGCACAAGCAGCCAGAAATAAGAAAAAGCACATAAACAACAACTGAATCTGTGCAGAACAATGCAGTGATCAAGGGAATTCAATCAGCACTGCTTCTAGCATCAAATTTAGGGCTATAATTCCCACAGTACTTCTAAAGAGTATTTTTAAACCAGCTCTCCATGTGTGCTAATTTGGATGAATGGAAATTCAATAAGTAATGAAATTTTACACAGTTTTGTTTTCCTAACTGCTTGAATTCTAAGAAAAATGCATCTACTGTTTTTTCCATCATCAGCTAAAATGCTGTATGTAAAATTCAGCATTGCCACTTGGTATCTCTTAAAGCTACGTGGAAGTAATTCTAACAGTCAAACCTCAGTATCGGTTGACTCAGTTAAAGACTGTTACAAGTACTTGGCAGAGCTGCATATAGAAAAAAAAATTAAATTACTAATTTTTTTTCCTGTCATACTTCCTCTTTTACCTGAATGTCATCTTCCTATCTTATTTATCCTAATTTTTTATATTTGCTATAAGCTTAATTTTACTACAGCATTATTTACATTGTTTCTCTTGTATTCTTTAAAAGGTGGAATGACTTCACCATTCTGTGATTTTATGAAATGACCTTATACAATTATGTATGAAATATATACAAGATTATACATAACCTAAGAGACAAAAATCTCAAAACTATATTTAGCATACTCACTTGAATAAAGGAGTTCCACAAACAACACATTTGTATATTCCTTGAGCTTTATGGTGTGTGTACTCCCCCTCAAAGGCACTGGGAAAACAACAACACCGCATTTTAAAATTAAATAAAGGAATTCTTTTTTTTTAATTTTTAAAGTCGCTGAGTCTTTAGAAAAATGTTATAGAAAAAGCCCACGATTTCTAAGTTGGCAGCTGTTTTTTATTAAAGGTAGCAAATAAAGCAGGCACAGGAAAAGGGGAATGTCCTTGTTAGTGTGCCTCGGATGTTAGACATCATGCAAAAGGAAGCAAATTGTCCCACAGTTCAAAGGCTGGAACAACAACAAAACCAAAAAGGATAAACCAGAAGTCTTCCCCTATCTGGCAAGTGAAATGTCAACTTTTTGTAAACACAGATTGTTTGGCACATAGCTCAACCTGCCACACCTCGCTGTGTCCACGTCTGGGCCGCATGCAGGGCTCGGCGGCTGCAGTGGAGCGAGGTGTGAGGCGCTGCAGAGCCGTGGCGCTGGGTCAGGCCAACGCTGGCTGCCCGGGCGGCACAGACATTGTAGCTGAAAATGAAATAATTGGTCCAGGATTTCAAGCTGTGCGCGCCTTATATTTTCAGTTGAAAAGCAATATTCCAGCTTTAAGGGAATATTTTTCTAAGTTAACAATCTAAAAGGCTAGGAGGTCATTCACCTAATACGAATCAGCTGCGCTAGCCCAACAAAAAGCCTATGTGCTCAGCAGCTTGTTTTTATTATCCTTTCACCCTTTTTATGAGGTCCAATTTTTTTTTATAAACAGGATTTTTGAGAATGACCTAATCTCCGATTGTTTGTGTGCATTAAATCACGTTGTTGGTCCCGTACACAGGAGCATGGAGGGCTGGGGGGAAGGCGAGGCAGGTCTCCCAGCAAAGGCAACCGTCCCCCTGCCCTGCCAGGGCTGTGGCAGGATGGAGAGGGCTGGGGTGGGGAGGGGGACTGTCCCCACCAGCCTCTCTGGCACGTTCAGCCACGAAATTCAGTGCTGTCAGGAAAAGGTTTGCCTATTAACCAGGACCCCACGTGCAGCAGGGAGTCCTTTCAGCTCATGAATGAAAACAAGCAGTTACATCATTAGTACGTTTAGAGCAGAGGTAAAGCCAGGGCCTTGCGCCAAGCTCAGTGGTATAAATTAGACAACAAAAAATGGCTGGGCCTTGGCAAGTTACCTTTGGCTGGAATCAGCTGAGAGAGAGAGAGAGACTTTATTCACTAAAAACAATCTTGGAAGTCTGTCCTTTTTTTTTCCCCTCCAGGACTTAAGGCTGGGTTCCAGCGACTAAAGCCATGTGAGGGCAGTTATTGAAAATTTTTGACATTCCAACCACAAATGAGCCAATAAATACCTTCTCCACATGTGCTTCAAAAAGAAATTGGAGTGGGGTGGAAAAGAACTAAATTATGCTACCTTCTTTCTGCAGCCAAAACGTCTATACTTACAATGGCCACCTTCAAAACTCCAGCCTCCTGGCACAGAGCCATTTCCCTCGTGGTTCTGCTTACTGCGATGTCTTCCAAAAAAAGTGTACCTAAACCACTATTACTTCCACACGTTTTGTAGTAAACTAAAAACAGACTCTAACTATGAGCCTGGTGACTTTATAAGACATGCAGTATTCATTAAAAGAAAAAGTCACACAAGACCCTTGGCCCTGGCCCCCCTGTTGCAGATGCTTGTCTTTGCAGTAGTGTTAATTTGTAGGGGTTAGTAAACAAGTGTAGAAATCCTGGAAGAAGAAGAAAACAACCAACAAAACTTGGTAGGGAAGGTGAGGAAACAGCAGTAAGAGGAGGGGTGGAAAAGAAAGATGCCTGTGTTTTTAGATCTGAGTTTCTTTCATCCTGCCTTACCTTTCAGTCCCCTTCTCCTGAGTGACATGGTACTGCAGGGGTGTCAGCCGCTTCCTCAGCTCTTCCTGGGAAAAGACCACCTTACAGTCCTTTTTATCCCTACATGACCCTGCAAAAGGAGAGGATATGGGAGAAGGAGCCTTTTTAGCTTAAATCCTGAATAATTGCTTTGGCAGACAGCCACAGTATAGCTTCTGCATTCACTTGTCAATGACCAGGCTGGTCCCTAATGCACAAAGAATGGCTCAGCTGAACTGCAGCTGATTATTTATTCAAATATAAGTATAGAAAAGAATTTTTATGGAGAGCCAGGTGATTCCACTGGAGCAGTGACAATGTGCTACAGCCAAAGCCCGTTGGTGTGTTATACACTAAATTGTTGCGCACACAATCATTCACAAGAAAGTACCGTTTTTTGACCATTAAAAAAAGATCTGCAAAAATCCCAACTACAGCTGAAACATTCTTTACAAGACATCTATATTGGAGACTTATGGTAATGGGCATATGATGTTTAGCCACAACATCTAGCAATTTCAGTACCCTTAAAAGTAGCTGAAAAACAATTCTAACCTTCAGAATTACAGTAAAGTTTATTTAATTTCTAGTTGCATCCTCAACCTTTTCCCTGTTAAAAAAGTAGCCTTTTTCTTTTTTCACTGTTGAAGCACTAGAATAGGAGTCCTAACGAGTAAGTAATTTCTTTATGCACAAAGCTGTACAAGGTTCAACTTGTTGTAAAATTTGTTGCAAAGGAGGGTTGCTGTTGAAATTACCCTCCTCTGAAAATCTAATCTTAACACTTTGCTTAGTTCACACAGAAAATCCAAGGAGTACATAAGGATTACTGTAAAAAATAAACATTTGCATAGTGCAAAAATCCACACTGTGAAAGCAAAAAACAACAATAAAGTTACTTCTGGGAATGAAAATTCCCAAAGTAATAACATAAATTGCAAAATATTCAGGTAACTTTGATAAGCATTGGCAAAAACTAGCTGACAAAATACAGCAGGGAAAAAGCACTCTAATTATGACAGTAATTAAAATATGGTGCAATAAGAAATAAACACTCCCGACCAAAATATTTTTTGCTAGAAATGTATATACACTCATAAAAAGACCAATTGTGTTCCCAAAGTAGAGGCAACAGAGCTACCCATCTGTATGTCATTTAGTACAGGAGAGGCAATGGCAGGTTTAAATTACATGGTATTGGATTGCAATTTCCTAACATTGGATGCTTTTCTGCTTTTTTACCTTGAGTCATTACTAAGGAGCGTTCATAAAAAGTAGCTTAGAGCACAGATGCTTGCAAATCATTTAAGAAAAGATGTTTCTTTCTTCCTCCCCCTCTTCTTTTCTCAATTTTTTAATGTGTGGGGGTGGGTGAATAGGGGAGAGAGAAAAAGAATAATGCTGTTGGTCACTACCAACTAACCCTAGGAAGTATTTTCAGGAAGAAAAAAGTAAAATTGAAAACATCTGATTGAAGTAAATAGTGCAAACATAAAAAGCTTTACCAGTGAAAGAAAAGTATTGAAAAGCGACTTTATTTCATAGATTAGAAATTACTTTTGATCTAAACATTCTTAAAAACAGATTGTTTTCCACTCTGACCCATCTCATTAGCTGTGCTGCAGAGTCTTCGTTTTAATGGCAAGCTTTGAAAGAGCGCTGCTGTATGCCTTTGTTAGCTTCAATCTTATTTGGGAGAGGGATAAAGATTTCATTCCAGGTCTCTTTGTTTGTCTTTCAAGAACCACTAAAGCAGTATTCACACAAATTTTGCAGGAATGTGCCCTGTGCCATAGCTTACAAACTATTTGGTTTTGGTGCACTTAAAGGTCACCTTCCAAATTAGCAAAATTTTCCTACATCCTGGCTTTTCAACCTTAAATGTAAATATTGTTTTCTAACTGTAAGTGAGGTTTGTTCTTTATAACATTTGGTTGCTTATTTAAGGATGTCAAACTTTGGAGGTTTTTATTCTCCAAACGTGCAGGACTCTAGGACTAATAAGTCTTTCAAAGTATAGCTAACAGGGAAAAGAAGCATATGCATTATATAAATAGCTATTGTTATCTTGCATTACGCAGCTCAGAAAGAAACTGTTTGAGAGACAGTCTTTTCTCTACAATTTCAGTTTAAAAAGTAGTCTAGAGAGCAACAAAGAATCTTACAAACCAACATCTCTTCAATTTTTAAAATATCTGCCATAATTCTAAAAAATAAATTCTATTTGCTCCTCAACTGCTGCTGCTGCAAAAAGGCAAACTAAGCATAACTTCACTTTGAAAAAAGAGAAAATACTGACTGATTTTTAAAATGGTCAGTATTCCCCCTTTACATTCCTTAAATAATTTTTCATCTTATTTACAAATTTAATGTTCTCCAATCTGTGGGTTTACTATATGTATAAGAAAATTTCTAGATGCTGCATGATGCACGACAATGATCAGAAGTAGGAAGTGTGTTAAAAAAAGATCTTTTGTATGCCTTGTTTTAATAATTAACCGTATGTTTTAAAATACAAACAATTGTTTATGTCTGCAGGGGAATTTTGCCAAACTACACTGAGGTAAAATGCAACTGACCCCAATAAGGGATTCTTCAAGTTTGTAATTTGAGTATTGATCAAAAAAAAGTTGCACTACAAATTATAAAGAAAATCCCTTGGTTCAGCCTTCAGCATTCAAATGTGGCCCTATTAAATTAATTGTACTTACTATTTAATTGCTGGCAACAAACAGATAGCTCAGTAAATGGATCACACTATTTCCCTATTGCTGTGGAGGCAAGGAGGTAAAGCAAGACTCATCCCTGACTGCAGAGGATATAGGGGTATTTTATCTGAAATAGGGATAGCCTACAGGCTTATATAAAAATGCAATTAATCCTAGAAAATACTAGATGAGATTCTAGAAATACATTCCTTCAGTCAGGAAAAAAATTACATGCAAGAGGGACAAAAGTGCATAATTTTTGGTAGAAGAGTGTTTCCTTCTGATTTTGCAGCTGTTCCTTAATGACATGAGATGACTGTCACATTCAATGCAACTGTTTGTATCCTGGGAGGGGACAACATAAAGCTACACAAAGATTTCCAATATAAGAAAAACTGCCACTAGTAATGGAGCTGTTATTGAGCTAATTATTAAACTAGAGAATAAATGGGCAGGCTGACCACCTTCCTCCATCTGGTTCTCCATAGAGGAGGGATGAGGTTTGGGCTCTGGAAAGGGTCCATACAGGCAACAAAATGCTTCATCAGCTCAGCCATAAAGGCAGGCTCAGAGTTCACTGGCAAATCACACAGTTTGAGGCAAATGAGAGAAAAGGTCATCAGTTCTACAAACAGCATTTTGTCAGTGTGGTTACTGATTAAAGGTGAGGCTAATTTAAATGCTGTATGAGAATAAGAGAGCCTGGATTCATAGGAACTATATTGGCACTCTTGTTCCTTGGAGATGGTGCTCTCAGCAATGACTTTTACAAAAGCCCAGGCCAGCTATGTTCTGAACTCCAGTTAGATGAGCTGTTAAGAGGTGAACTGCCTGCAAAGACAGACAAAATCCCCTTTGATCCACTGCAATATTGGAGGCCAGATTAAATCTCTCTAATCAGCACCCCATGGTGCCTTCTTTGGGGTTGGCACTCCTAAGAAAAGCAGTGTTCAGGCAGCTCCTTCAACCCTCTGGCAACAGCTACAGCAGTGCTAAAGGCACTTATGATCCTGGAGCAGGATGGAAGGTTTTGTGAGGAAAAGACCAGCCTCACAAATCTTAATGGAAAAAAAAGCCAACCAAACAAACCAAAAAAAAACCTGAGGAGGGTGAAACAAACATCAACAGAAACCCTTCTTGGAGACTTCACAGTATTCTTGTGTTTAGGAATGGGATTTTTTTTCTGAAAAGCGAGGGAGGGCATGCTGCCATTTACTATTCACCTGCAGACTATGGGCATTTCAGAGTTCAGCTCTGAAGTCTGCTGTACAAATTAAGTGAACAGAAAGTATTTTCTGAGTGTTGACCTGATAATGAAGACATTAAGCATCTCACCTCACATATAAGTTCTAACTGACTTTTCAAACCTGTGGTTCATAACATTCTTTCCTTATAAGCAATCACAAGAAAACCAGCAACAAGACATGTTCAGACAGATGGACACAAGTTAGCAGACCGTTACTCCTCAACTCAGCCCCTCACCTGTTCCAACACACCAGAGGTTGGTGATTAGTGTCTGATATGCCCTGAAATGTGGTGGCATTTTGCCTGATAGCTTTCCTATATCAAACACTCTTTTGAACCATTTCCAACATTTTTTTCTTGCGTTTTGTTGCTTCCTATCACTGAAATTAACTCAATATTTCAACTGCATGGAAGACACAACATCCATTTTCCCTCTTCTATCTATGCTCATATTCCACTAGCATTAATGGACATTATGGTCATGCACTGAGCACATACCACTTAGACTTCCTGAACTAAATACAGTAAGATCAAATGTTCCAGCAGAGCACAGCCATATAATAAATCGGGCTTCTAGTTTTCAGTACTATTTCTTTTAATATAACCAAGCAGTTTTTTAGGGACCTTACAGTACCTTTTATTTTTCATATCCCACCCCAGCCCCAATCCTGCAATGTGACCTGTGTAGGCAGATCATTGAAAATATGCATAGCTACTTAAGGGTCTATGACTGTACATGAGACTACAGGATCTGGCTCTAAGTATACATCTTTTTGCTTACCAAAGTCTGTCCCATTATAAGCGAGTCAGACCTTGGTAGATTGATGGTAAATTACCTCAAACTGATATTAAGAGGAATTCCACAAAGTTAAAAATATTTGCATACACTTCTTTAAATAAATACCCTTACATATATTATTGCTAACACTTAGTATTTTTAAAAGTGGAATCTCGAATTCCTTTTTACTTCAGTTTTCATTTCACAGTTTATGCCTCTTGTTGCCAGTTTTGCCTCACTGTCTGATTAAGAAAAGGCAAACTCACAACTCTCTCTCACATATTTTAATTTCTGTTTAATTTCTTCTCTGCAGCCTCTAGTCTACAGCCTCGGGAGAATGCTGCAGTGTTCTCTCACTGC